CCCCACCACCATGACCGAAGCCTCCTCCCCCGTCGCCGCTGAGGGTGGCCCCTCCGCCTCCCAGATCAAGCGCGAGCAGCGCCAGGCCATCACCGACCGCGTGCTCGATGCCGTGCGGGCCTTCCAGGCCGAGGGCGGCCAGGCCGCCGCCGAGGGCGCCGACGGCAACAACCCCGAGTCGCCTTCCGACTCGTCCCCCCCGCCCACCGGGGCCAATGCCATCCCCTCCCCCTCGGAGCTGGCCCCCCGGCTCGGGCTCAAGGTGAACCAGGTTCACCGCGTGCTGATGGACAACTTCAGCCACTACCGCCGCGCCCATGCCAAGAGCCTGCTGAAGGCCGAGCGCCTGGGCAACCGCGTCCTCCCGGACAGCACCCACCTGGCCCTGCAGGACATCGCCAACAAGACCCGCCTGACCAAGGCCCAGGTGCGCGCCGTCCTCCGGGACTTCGTGCCGCACTACGAGCAGCCGGAGGTCACCCGCCGCCGTCGGGTGCTGGAGCTGGCCCGCGAGTCGCAGGCGGCCGGCACCGCCGAGATCGAGGCCATCCTCTCCGGCGAGGGCCCGCGCCACTTCCTGTGCAATGGCGAGATCATTGCCCTGTCGCCGGCGGTCATGGACTACTCCGACATCGCCTGGCGCACCGGCATGACCCCGGGCACCGTGCGCAAGATCGTCCTGGCCGAGATGCCGACCTTCCGCCCGCGGACCGACCTGATCCCGGAGCTGATCGTGGCCCTGGCCCAGCGCCCGGACCCGATTCACGGGCTGACCCCCCGGACTTCGGACATTGCCCGGCGCGTGCGCATGGCCCCCCCCTCGGTGCTGGCCATCCTGCGCAAGCACCTGCCCGAGTACACTCCCCCCTCGCATCGTGAGGTGAATGCGGCCCTTGTCCAGCGCGGCCACAACCCCACCACCACCGCCCCCAAGCGCCGCCGCGCGGCCACCACCACCAATGCCCGCAGCCCGGCCCGCGCCACCGCCGCCGCCGCTCGCGTGAAGAAGCAGCGCACCGAGGCCGGCGAGGTGGCCACCCTCCACCATGACGCCTTCCCCGTTGGCGAGGACGAGGAGGAGGACGAGACCATGGACGACCCGACCATCCCGGTTGCCGATCCCGATGAGGACGACGACGAGGACGACGAGGACGACGAGTAAAGCAGCCCCTCCCCCCCTCCCCCCCTCCCCCATTCCCTCCGTTCCTCCGTTCCTCTCCCTCTCCCCCTCCGCCTCGCGGAACACGCTTTGGGACGAGCAAGCGTGCGCGCTCCTACCTTCCTCCCCCTCCCCTTCTGCCTGCGTTGCGCGCGCGCGCGCGTGCGCGCCCCCTCTCCGTGTGTGTGTCTGGCCCTGTACATGTAGCTCCTCTCCTTTCCTCCCTTCAGCCTCCGCGGGGGGGCACGCTCGCGCGCGTGTATGCGCGCGCGCGCGCGCCCGTTCCCCCAAAGCTCTTCCGCAGGGCGGCGCCGTTTCCTCCCCCCCCCCTCCCCTTTTCTTCCCCCCCCCCCCCCCCCCGCCTCCCTCTCGTCCTTGTCACATCCCCCCCGCCCCCTTCCCCCCTCCCCTGTTCTTCGGGTGGGGGAGTGGGGGGGGGCGGCGCGTCCCTCTCCTGTGGCCCTCTGCGCGTTTTTCCCCATGTGTATGGCACAATACAAACAAATCCGAAAGAAAGACTCCTGCCGTTTGGTTGTGCGCCCGCCCCTCCCTCGGCCTCCGTCTCCGTCTCCGTCTCCGTCTCTGTTGCGTGTGGTGTGCCGAGTGGCGCAGGGCGCGGCGAGAGGGGGGGCTCCAGGAGCGCACAGCGGGCCCATCTGCGCGCGTGTGCGTGTGCGGGCTCTTTCCTTCTCTCTCTCTCTCTCAGGGCGTGTGCAGGAGCCGGACGTAGGCCGTCAGCCTGGGGGGGGGGGGGGGAGGCGGCGGAGAGGGCGCAGCGCGGCCGGGAGGTGCCTGGGGGGGCATGCGCCCGGCCGCCCGGCCGCCCGGAACACCCGAATCGCAGGCACTAGTCGCCAGGAGAGTGGGCAGCGGGGCCAGGTGGCGGGAGGGGGCGTGCCGGGCCGCCTGAGGCGGGGGCGTGAGCAGGGGCGTGTTGTGCGCGTGGTTCCCCCCCCGGGGGGGGGGGGGGGCAGGCGCGGTCGCCAGTATCCCCAGCAGAACACCATCCAGAACCTGGCCATCAGCTGTGCTGGAGGCTGGGTGGTGCCAGCCCCGCAGGCGCGGCGGAGGCGCCCCCACAGAGGACACTCTCTGCCGCCCGCGGAGGGCGGCGGGACCGGGGGGGGGCGCAGGGCCTCCCGGAGGGCGGGGCCAGGAAAGCCGTCCCCCCAAAAAGGCGCAGGCCCGCCCGGAAAGCGCCCGCCGAAGTCCCGAGGCGGCCACACCGAAAGTAACCGGAGCCCAGCCCGCCGGGGCCCACTATTCCCCCGGCCGGGCGGGGGCAGGGGGGAATACCCCCCGTGCGCATGTGGACGACCGGCTCCCGGACGGGAGGCGCCGCCGGCTTGCGCAAGAACGACGCGGCGCGACCGCCGGACCGCAACATTCCCCCCCCCCCCCTCCCCCCCGGAGCCGGGGGAGGCCCGTCCACCGGCCGCCGATCAAGCCATCACCTCCTCGGGCCCCAGAGGAGACTGGAGACGGCTCTGCCAGCAAGGAGGTCGCGAGGGGTTTTAAGAACCTACTAGGCCCCCGCCCGCCCTCGCCCTCGCCCTCGCCCCGGGGTGCAGGCGTCGGGCGCAACGCCCCCCCCCCCCCGGGCTGTACCGGGCCTTCCCCTCCCTCAACCCTTGCCCCACCCTCGTACTGTGCAGGAGGCCACGCAAGCGCCCGCCCACCGGGCGCGCGCAGGGCATGCGCGCGTGGGGTGTCCTTGGCTCGCGCCCTCCCCGGGGTCGTGTGTGGGACGGCACCGCGGCCTGCTGCCCCCTCGTGTCCCGGGGACTCGGCACGTTGCACGCGCCTGGACATGGGACGTGTGTGTGTGTGTGTGTGCGCACGCGCGCGCGCGCGCGCGACCCAACCGGTGGACCAGCTGCTCGGGCCGAAAAGAAAGGAGAAGCGCGCGCGCGCGCGCCGGCCCGTCGCAGACACGCCGGGCCTCCAGCACCAGAAAAGGGGACAGGGCCGAGGCGCGCCCGGGAGGGAAAGCCATTCACGAGGACACTCCCCACGAGATACAACACGAATGCCATTCATCTATCCACGGAGTCCTCAACTGAGGCGCAGGGAGATCACACGATCCGAGGGTTAAGCGCGCCGTCACAACATTGGCCAGCTTTGCGCTCGCCCCTGAGCCCTTCCAAGAAGAGGCCCGCCGCATGATCGGCCACGCCTTTTCTCTTCGCCCGCCCGCCCGCCCGCCCGCCCGCCAGATCCCAGACCGGGGGACGGGTGCATCTTTTTTTTGGAGCGGGGCGCCCGGCTTCTCTGGACCCCTCCCCTGCGCCCACCAGGGCGGCGGGTTCCTTCCCCGAACGCGGCATCGCGCGGGGCCGTCTCTCGTCGAGGGGGCGGGCCCCCCCGTTCGGCGGGAAATTGGCCGCCTCAAGGGGGGGGGGAGACAGGGGGGCACAGGGCCGGGCGCCCACGGCGGCGATTGGAGGCTATCCAGCGCCAGTCCACGGGCGCCAGGGGGGGGGGGGGGGGGGGGGGGGGAACGGGACCACCGTAGGCAGACCGTCTCGGCCAACGCCCGCGCCGCGTGCGCCTTGGCCCGCGCAGGGGGAGGGGCCTGGCGCCGAGCCCGGGGTGTCGCGGCCCTGCTGCGGTGTACCGGCCGGCGCCGGCGCCCGACCGCCGGTCAAGAGAGCTCTGGCTGCGCGATCGAGATCTCCACCGGTCCAGGTGGCGGGGCCGCCTCTCCGCCGCCCCCGCCTCGCCCCGCCGCACGCCCGCTGGTCAACATTTCCGTGGCCCTGGCACCGGCAGCGGGCGCCTGGCGCGCGTTTCGTCCACCCATCTCCTCCCATCTCCCCTCCCTCCCCCCTCTCCTTTTCCCTCCCTCTCTCTCTCTCTCTCGCCCTCCCCCTCCCCAACAACACCGTGCGATGGTCAGCTCGATCCTCGTCAACAACCGCTGCGCGGCCTTCGGCCTGCGAGTGCACTCCCTGCACGTCCGGTCATCGGTTCCCGATGTCCTGAACCTCGTCGACCAGTCCGAGACCGCGGAGGAGATCCCCGTGGTCCGGAATGCCGGGAGCGCCGACATCCTGGCCAGCGTGCCCGAAGACGATGACAGCGCCTCAGATGACCAGGACGACGCCTCGTCCGTCCTTTCCTCCTCCACCTCCGCAAATGTCCCGGCCCGGCGCAAGATGAAGAAGCTGGTCCGCACCAAGCGCCAGCACATCGATCCGGCCACCAAGTCCACCCTCCTGTCGCTGAGCCGGCACTCGCTCAAGTTCCGCGAGGTGCGTCCCGGTCCACGGTTGCATGCATTTGCGCTGGCCCCTGCTTGGCGGCGCTCCATTCTGACCTCCGCCGCCGCCGCCGCCGCCGCCGCCGCCGCCGTCCCCGCACGCGACTGATGCAATTGGCCACAGCCGGTGGAGATCCTCACCGTCCTGGTGCCCTACGCGGTCAGCGACCAGGCCACCGCCCCCCCGGGCACGGCCAAGTTCTCTGACAGCCTATCCGAGGGGTCCTCGCGGAACCTGCTCGGCGACGCGCCGGCCCCCTTCGCCTTCCTGCTGAAGCAGCGCATCTTCCCCTCCTCCTCGACGCTCGGGTCCAGGTGCGAGGTGGCCTTCGACTCCCGGCCCTCGGGCAGTCTCTCCTCGGTGGTCGGCTGGTCGACCAATGTGCGTGCCCTGCCCCATCCTGCACGATCCCGCGTCCCTGCTCGGCCACTGACTCTCCTCGTCCATGAATCGACCGCAGGCCGTCACGCGCACTGTCATCGTGTCCCCGCCGGCTGGGGCCACAGTTGCCGGGGCCGACCCCCAATCGCCCATCCCCCTGCCCCGGTTCTATGTGTCCTTGCGAGTGATCAAGTCTCGTGCGGGGGTGCGTCGTCCTGCGAGGCCGCCGTCCGCTTGCATTTTGCTCATCCCCGATCTCACCATCACGCACGCGCATACGCACATACACACATACACACATATACACATACGCGCATACGCGCATACGCCCACACGCCCACACGCCCACACGCCCACACAAACGCGCAACCTGCCTTGCCTCCTCTCGATGCAGGACGACGACTTCGAGTACACCATCTGCGACATCCCCAGCGAGGACACCGACCTCAAGATCGACGCCCCGACCCTACGCGAGCCGAAGGCCTTCCTGGCAAAGCTGAGTTTCGAGGCCAGTCTTGTGCGCGATTCCCCGTGTCGCCTCCCTGGGCTCGATTTCTGCCCCATCACTGACACACCTCGGCCCCTTGCCAGCCCCGCGGCTTTGTCCTGGAAGAGGTCTACGAGAACCAGCGACGTCTTGTCGGCGTGAACTCCTTCTCGGCACGAAGTACATGCCACGTCGCGCCGCCCAACATGCGTTCTCGCCCCCGTCCCACCTTTCTGACCCCCCCCCCCCCCCTCCCTTCCCCCCTCTCCTCGCCGCGCCGCGTGTAGATCTCACTTCCTCCGAGCGCAGCCCCTGGAGCACGCTCTGGGGCGAGTCGCGCCTTCCATTGGAGTATATCCCCCTGCCGCCGGCATCCATGACCCCGGCCGGCAACTCCAGTTGGGAGTGGCTTTGGGACACATGGGTCGTTGACGACCGCCCCCGGCGGTACATCAACCCGAAGAAGGTCGGCTCGATGCCGGCCACAGGATCCGGGTCACATGCCCGGTCCCGGTCGCGGCCCGACTCCATCCCCGAAGACCCGAGCTCGCCGCTGGAACCGGTGGCCGAAGTGGCCTCCTCAGCGTCCTCGGTGCTCATGCCGGCCGAGGCCGCCGGGCCGGAGGAGTTCGCCAGCTGCGATGCCGCCGGCTGGCAGGTGCGTATCCCACTGGCCCGGTGATTCCTCCCCCTCAGCGCCGCCGCTGGCCTGCCCCGGAGCTGACACCGTCCAACATCTTTCTTGTGCCCATCTCCCCCCTCCCTTCGCCTCTCCTCCCTCAGTACGCCAACAAGTGGAGTTCCAACACTTGGTCCGCCACTCCCGGCGGGATGAGCGCTGTCCGACGCCGGCGGTGGATCCGCCTGCGCGTGTGCCCGGGCCTGGTGGCCTCGGAGCTGAGCTCTGCCCTGTCCAAGTGCGGCTCGGCCGGCTTCCTCTCGGCCGAGGCGGCCATCTTCGACTCGGACCGTTGGGACACGTTGGCCCTGCCGGTCGTGCAGTCGGTGCGTTTTCAGCGGGCCGTCACACACACACACACACACACACACACACACACACACACACATTCTCCGTCGACTGGCCTGCCTGCCTCCTTCACTTGCAATGACTAACGCAGGCCCTGCCCTTCGTCTCGCGGCTCCCCGTCCCACAGTATGAGGACCTCCTGGTGACCGTGTCGCTCCCGGACTTCTCTGACGACCAGCGCCTGGCCCTCCTGGTCGCCTTCATTGACCATTCCTCGTCCGGGCTATCCTCGCCCAAGACGTCGCCCGATGAGGTACGTACACAGCAGCCGCCTTGCCTATGTCATTCCCCCCCCCCCCCGGCTCACCGTCCACTTGCTGACCCTTTCGCCCCCGGTGCTGGCCACCGCCTGACCGCCCTCCCCGCACCCTCCCTCCCATTCGCACCGCAGTTCATGAAGGTCATCTCGTACTTCCGGTTCGATGCCACACGCCGGAAGGCCCTCGAGGTCCGCGCCCCACCCTCAGTGATCGTGCCCGCGACGTGTGGCTGCTCGCAACTCTCATCCCCCGCCCCCTTTTCACTGACGCCTGGTTTTCCCTCTCCTTTGCGCCGCCCCCCCCCCCCGGCACACAGCTCATTGCTGAGCGCTTCCCCGGGTGCTTGGCCGATGCTCCGGGCATGGTCAACAGCCTGGTGTTCTTCACCAACCGGGTTGGCCTGGCGGCTGGCAACAAGCACCGCTAGCCGTGCTCATGATCCAGAACCACTCTGTCAAAATAGAACACTCCGACAACACACACTGATAAGCTGCCAGCGCTTGGGCCGCGCCTAGACCCTCAGTCCAGGGCCGCAGGCAGAGCGAGAGGAAGGCGGGCGGGCGCGGGCGCAAGAGGGGGGGAATGTGCGGGCGCACGCCCGGACGCAGATGCTGAGGGCGCCCGGCCAGGCCCAGGTCCTTCCCCCCCCCCCCCCGCCCCCTCCCCCTGGCCGGAGAGCATCTTCCTCTCTTTTGGTGGGTTGGGTTCTTTCTGCCTGGCATGCGATCCCCCTTTTCGGCGCCCCGATCCCTCCTTCCGCCGAATCTCGGCTGGTCACCAGCAGCCCGTCTTCCCCCCTCCCGCCCAGTTCCTGTTTTCTTAGTCCCCCCCCCCTTCCCCCTTCCCGCCCTCCTCGCCCATGTTCCGGCAACTTGCGACTCGCGCCCAGCGGGGGGTGGCTCCCCTGTCCACCGCCTGGGGGAGCGCATCGGCCGTGCGCGTCGCCGGCGCGCCCCTCGGTTTCATGCAGCAGCGTGAGCTGTCCAGCCGCGCGACGACCCCGGCGGCGCTCACCGCGCGCCCTGCCCCCACCGGGCCGGGGCTGCTGCTTTCCCGGGCGCAGCTCGCCTCCGGGGCCGGTGCACTGCGCTACTACTCTTCGGCGCCGCCGTCCGGAGACATTGACCGGTCCGGATCCTCGGACACGCACATCTTCGACCGGCCGCTCTTCCGCATGGGCCTGCTCGGCAACATGACGCCGCGCAGGGCGGTCAACATCTCCCTCGGTACGCGCCGGGCCATTGCCCTTCCACCGTGCCACGCATCAGCCGGCTCGGCCGCTTGCCATTGCTGACCGCCATGTGCGCCACGCGCGCGCCACACACACACACACACACGCACACACACACACACACACGCCGCCAGCCTCGACCATCGTGTACCTGATTGCCAAGGGCTTCTACCGCATCACCGGGGCCTATCTCAACTTCACCGTCCGTGCGTTCTCGGCATGCCACACCCCTGCCCCTCGGGCTCCCCTCTGACGATCCTGCCCTGGTGTTCCTCCACGTCCCTCTCTCCATCCCGGGGCTCTGTCGACGTAGTCGACCTGGGCGAGCTCGGGTTCTATGCCGGCGGCATTGTCACCACGGCCTTCTTCGTGGGAACGTGGTCGCTGACCCGGCGCTGGTTCGGGCCGGTTAGCTTCGACCCGGCCGTGTCCCATGGTGCGTACAGCGGCGTCGTATGCCGGTTCAGCACGGCTCCTCCTCTCCTTGCGGCGCCACTCCTTCCCTCCCTCCGCCCTTTGCCACCCCTTCCTTACCGCCCCCGCACATGCCTCCGGTTCCCTGCTGCGATCCGGCCACAGTCCTCAGCCAGCTGTCCAAGGACACCACTTTCAATGAGAAGATGCAGGAGGCGGCGCTTCTGCTGCAGGAGGCCCGCGACGAGGCGTCCATCCCCTCCTCGCATGGTGTGTCCATTTCCGAGACGGATCTCGAGCTGCAGAGCCTCTGGACGTCCAACCCGGTGGGCCGCATGCTGAGCAAGCTCTCCCCGGCCAACATCGCCCAGTACCTGCCGGTGTTCAATGCGCCGACCATGGCCAACCGCAACACCATCATCGTCCCCGGCGCCTTCCAGGCACAGCGCATCACCGGCGGCGGGGCGGTGATCGGCAACCGCTTTGTCATCGGCAACCGGCCCTCCACGGTGCTGGAGTCGGGGGTCGGCTGGACCGGGAACTTTGTGCGCATCGAGCCACGTGCGTGTCCATCCGTCCCCGCGCGCGCCTCTTGCTGCCTCCCTGGGCTGCCCTTTTTCTTTCCCCTCGTTTTGCCCCCCTGCCTGGTGGCCCAGCTGATCCCGTGTTCGGCCGTTTGGTGCCCCCCCCCCCCCCCCCTTGCTCCCCTCGCCCGGGCACAGGCTCCCTGCAGGTGGTGGTTCCGATCACCCTCTCCAGCCGGCTGATTGCCAAGCGGCGCCGGTCGCAGATGTACCCCGTGGCGGTGCTCTCCTTTGAGGTGGTCAAGTCCCGCCGGGCGCCGAACCTCTTCTCCTTCCGGTCGATCTGCGTTGACATTGACCTGACCAAGGAGCGCCTGATCTACCAGGGCCCGCCGGAAGCGGTGGTCCGTGATCGACTCAACGGCAAGGAGATGCCCGGGCCGTTCCTGTAATATGGGTGGGGAGCAAATAGACCGAGAGCGAGGGCGAGGGAGAGAGAGAGAGAACCGAGGAGCCGAGAAAGGCGCGCCCTGTGCCCCGTCTCTCCTCCTCTCCCGCTCTGCCCCCCCCCCCCCCCATTGTCGCACCTGGCGTGCTCACATACACCTGTCCATGTACACGCCCCCCCCACGGGTCCACTTTCTCCCCCCCCCCCCCCCCCCCCCCCCCCCCCTCCCCCCCCCCCCCCCCCTTTTCCCCCCTGGCGTGCTCACATACACCTGTCCATGTACACGCCAGCACCCAGGGGCATGTTTCTCCCCCCCCCCCCCCCCCCTCCCCTCCCTTGCTATTGGGGGGCACGTCTGCTGGGCTCGCTGTCCGGAATGCACCCCGAGCCATGGTTTGTTTCTCTTGCCTCCTTCGTGCGTGTGTTCCTGCGGCAGAGTGGTCAGGGCAAGGCGGGCCGGGGAGGGAGCCCCGAAGGGCTGGTGTCTTTGGTGGGGGGAGCGGAGGCATTAAGGACGATCATCATGCCCCCTGGACGGCGATCACGAGCACATCACGGGAGGCGTGCGCTCGGCGCAAATGCCGGGGCCATGGAAGCGGCTCCGGCGACCATACGTGTTTTTCCTCGTCGCCTCGGTCCCCCTCTCGACGCCTGGGGCTTTGGGGCCGGGGCCTAAATAAATATGCACGCCGTGGGTGCGGGCATGTGGGCCGGGCGGGTGGCGCGCGAGCGGCTGGCCCCCACTCTCCGGCCAGGGGGGGGGGGGCTGATGGTGCGAGAGGGCCGGTGAGAGGGACCTTTGCCGGCGGGGGGGGGGGGGGGGGGGGGGGGGGGCCCGGCGGGGGGGGGGGGGGGGGGGGGGGGGGGGGGGGGGGGGGGGGGGGGGGGGGGGGGGGGGGGGGGGGGGGGGGGGGGGGGACAGGCGCAGGGCCGCCTTGTGCGGGGGTTGTTTTCGCTGGCCCGCCTGGGCGCGTGCGCGCGCGCGCATTCGTGCATGTGGCTGGGTGTGGATGTAATGTGCATGTGTGTGTATGCAGGCGCTTCGGAGTGTGTTATTTGGTCCCGCCCGGGCTGGCGGCCCTCCATGCCAATTGCTGGGTCCTGCGCCTTGCTCGGGGGGTGGTGCCAGGGGCAGAGCGCCGCCCCCTCCCCCCGGTTCGTCTGCTCTCGGTGGCGGTTTCTTCCTGGCTGCGCCCTCTTCCGAGATACCGGGGGCGGTACCGGCGCCCGGTGGCTGGCACGTCCCCCCAGCCCCGGCCGCCCCCCCCTCCCAGTGTTTATTGTGTGCGCGGAGGGGGCGGCGGGAGCCGCCGGAGGCCCGGCCCCCGTGCTCGTCAGAAGGACCGGGCACACCGAGGGGACTCTCTGGGAGCGGCGGAGGGGGGGGGGGGGGAACCATCACCAGGCCTGGGATCCGCTCCTGCTGGAAATGGTCGCGCCATGACACGGTAATGCATGCTGGCGCATCGCAGCTGGACGACGAGTGTGCAGCGCCACAATGGGCCGCACCAGCATCGTGGTCCCTCCGCGTCGGCCTGGTATGCTTCACGCTCGCGCGGCCACAGAGAGGGCCACACCGACGAGCTGGAGCCCGGGGGCGGGGGGGGGGGGGAGGCCAGGGAGAGGGGCAAGACAACGTGCGCATGCGGGCGCCCTCCCCGGGAGGGGAGCCCGGCGGGGCGCACGAGAATGCATGTGAAAAGTGCCGCTGAGGCTTGTGGGGCGCGGTTTCCAGGCGTGCACATTCCCTGCTCCCCATCGCCTTTCGGGGCTTTTGTGTGTGTGTCTGTGCCTCTGCGCTCACGCGCGTGCGCGAGGGTACGCGCAGTGCCGGGGTGCGTTTCTCGGCGTTTCCTGCCCCCCTCCCCCAGGCTGGCGCATGCCTGGCGGGGGGGGGGGGGGGATAGATGCTAAGGGGTCGGCCCGAGCCGCGCGCATCGGCCGGACCCCCATCCTCGTGCCCCACTCGGCTGGCGGGGGCCGGGGCGGGGCCTTCGCGCAGGGGGTCCCCTCCGGGTGGGGGTGCGCATGTTCGCGGGTTCGGCCGCCCGGCCGGCGGGTGCGTGCGTCCCCGGCGACCCGCCGTGTGGCGCAGCGCGCCAGCAATGGGAGTAAACAGAGTCGCGCAGGGCCGGCCGCATGCGCGGGTCGGGCCCGGGCGGGGTGTGGGCTGATGTGTGCGCCCGCCCGCCCCCGCCCTGCGTCCCACGCATCCGGAAGGGTACAGGCCAGGCTGGTCCGGCCCAGGTGCACGCGCGCGCCCCTCCCTCATGGAACCAGGCGGGCGATGCACAACCGCCGGCCGGTCTGCCAGTCCGCTGGCCCACCCGGGCCACTCAGGGCTGTGGTGCCCGCTCGTGCCCCCTGCCCCGTCTCCTGGACCGGGGAGGGGGGGGGGTTGCAGGGAAGCCCACCCCCGGCGCAGGGGGGCGGAACGATGACACACACGCACACTCACACACACACACACACACGCATGCATACATACACGCACACCGGCGCATGGGCGCGCTCCAGCCGGCGGTCCCGCCCGAACATGTGGCTGCCTGAATCCGGCCGCCAGCCCGCCGGGGGCGGGGCCAGTTTGTTGTTTTCCGCCCTCGCCCCCTGTGTGCGAGGCGGTTGGCCGGTGTTTGTTGTTTATGGCCGCCCTTGTTCCCAGACCTGGCCCTGCCCCATATCGCAGGGGCCTCTGGCATCCGGCAAAGGCACGGCCACGCCCTTGCCCGGCCCATTTTCGCCAGTCTCGGCATCCTCCCCGGGCTGGGCATCTCTCAGTCTCCCCCCCCCGGGGGGGGGGGGGGGCTTTTTTTCCATGCTTCTCTCACCCCCCCGGGCCGCTGGGCCGCCCCCGTGTAGCGCCCAGCCCCAAGCATATGCCCCCTCCTCCTGCCGGAGACCCCATGCTGCCGGCTTCCCCGACAAACCAGGAGCCGGGCCAGGCGTCGATGCGGCCTCGCTAGCTCAAGTGGCGCCTTTGTGCTCGCGAGCCGGCACCCACGCCTCGGCCCCCTCCAGCTTCGCCCGCCGGATCTGCCCCTGCCGCCATCTCTCCTGCCCCCGCCCTCCCCTGCCTCTCTCTCTCTCTCTCTGCCACTCACGCCAGCATGCCGCCCTTCCTCGGCGCTCTGATCAACTCCGGCTCCATGCCGCCCTTCATGCAGTCGCTCCTGGAGGCGGCGCATGAGGCTGCCCGCTCGGCTGCGCCGCATGTCGTGTCCGGGGCCATCATCGCTCGGAATGTCGTCGCCGCTGGTGGTCTTCTGCACCTCCTGCAGTCCCTCTACCAGGACGGTACGCAAGCGCGCCATGCCTGGACCCTCTCGTTCCCCGTGTCTTTCCCTCTCTCTCTCTCTCTCTCTCTCGCGTGTGTGTGCGCACGCGCGCAATCACGATTGCCTGGCAGCTCGCACCCTAACATCCCTACACTGCTCGAACGCACGCAGGTCTGCGCGGCCTGACCTCTCAGGCCATCGGCGCCTTCTTCGCCATCCCCGGCGTGCAGCCCCTCGTGCGCTACATCATCCGCCAGAATGTCGGATCCACCATCAAGATGCTGGACAAGACCTCCGGCGAGGGCGGCACCGCCGACAGCGGGTACGCGCACACCTTCGCACGCGATACACTCGCGCCTCCCCGCCGCCTTGCCCTTGCTCTGCGCACCTGCTGACTCGGCCGCCGCCGCCGCCGCCGCCGCCGCCCATTCCAGCGCCCAGCTTTACTCCATCCCGGAGAAGGGCCTCCCCCACGAGCAGGTTCTGGCCGAGCTGGCGGACATGCTCAAGACCGAGACCGAGTCCGAGGAGGGCCGCCTCTTTGCCTATGTCTACACCGACAATGACTCCGAGCGGAATGAGGCCCTGCGCAATGCCTTCCACATGGCGTGCGAGAACCAGGAGCTTCGCGATGAGTCCCTGCGCAAGTTTGTGGCCCTGGTGTTCAACCAGTTTGCCCACACCAACGCCCTGAACCCCAGCGCCTTCCCCTCGCTGCGCCGCATGGAGACCGAGACCGTGGCCATGATGGCCAGTCTGATGAATGGCGACTCGCAGGTGGTCGGGTCCATGACCAGCGGCGGCACCGAGTCCATCCTGCTGGCCATCAAGGCATACCGCGACCGTGCCCGGTGCGTGCCATTCTCGCCACTACTCTCCTCCCTCCCTCCCTCCCTCCCTGATGCCAGCTCCCATGCACATCCCATGGCCTGGCCGCCCCCGCCTCGCCCGACGGCACCGCCCATCGGCTGACCTTTGCTCCTCCGGTGTCCGGCTCGTGTAGCGATCTCTCGCCGCACATCAAGAAGCCCAACATGGTTCTGCCGATCACCGCGCATCCGGCCTTCGAGAAGGCCGCGCACTACTTCGGCGTCGAGACCGTCTATGTCCAGTTCACCGACGACTTCAAGGCCGACACCGCGGCCATGTACAGCGCCATCAACAGCAACACCATTCTGCTGGTGGCCTCCGCGGTCCAATACTGCCACGGTGTAGGTCCTTTCCCGACGTGTCTGCGCCTCCCCCTCCCCCTCCCCGCCCCCTTTTCTCCGAGCGTTTGCGTCTTCGTGCTGACCTTTTGCCCTCCGTGCCCCGCCGGCTTGCCCAGGTCTGCGACCCGATTGCCGAGATCGCGGCCATTGCCCAGAGCAAGGGGCTGCCCCTTCACATTGATGCCTGCTTTGGTGGCCTCATGGTGCGTGCCTGTGGCCTTTTCCTTTGATGCTGCGATGCGGCTAGCTGCCATTACGCGCAAGCACACCCGCGCATGTGCATACCCACATGTCTCCTTGCTCTGCCTCTCTCGGTCTCTCTTTGCCTCATTGTCTTTCTCTTCCCCTCTTCCCCTCTTCTCCTCTCCCCCTCCCCCTCTCCGCCTCTCCGCCTCTCCGCCTCTCCGCCTCTTTCTCACACGCGTACATCCCCCCATTCCATAGCTGCCCTGGGTTGAGAAGCTCGGCTACCCGGTGCCCGCTTTTGATTTCCGTGTCCCCGGCGTGACTTCCATCTCGGCGGACTTGCATAAGTATGGCTTCGCCCTGAAGGGGTCCTCGGTGCTGCTCTTCCGCAATGAGCAGCTCCGCCACTACCAGTACTTCGCGTACCCCGGCTGGCCGGGCGGTCTGTTCGGCTCGCCGTCCATCATCGGCACCCGGCCCGGTGGCAACATCGCCACCGCTTGGGCCACCCTCCGGGTGATCGGCTGCGACGGGTACATGGAAACCGCGCGCCGGCTGATGGAAGTCACCCAGGCCATGATGGCTGGTGTTGAGGCTACCGGGCACCTGCGCGTGCTCGGCAAGCCGGAGATGACCGCCTTCGCCTTCTCCTCCAGCGACCCGAGCATGAACATTTTCTCTGTGGCCGACGCCATGGAGCGCCGCGGCTGGAAGATGGAGGTGCGTGCCTGCTGCAGACACACACACACACACAGATATATATATGTGTATATGTATATATATCTGTGTGCCTGTTGGGCCGAGGCTGGCCTGCTCGCGCGCGTGGTGCATCTATTTGCCCATGTTTGCTCTCTTGCCTGCACCGGCTCTTGCTCCCTCGCCTCCAATGGGCGGACAACGACGGCGGAGCCTGACGCATGCTGACACCCTTACTTCCCCCCCCCCTCTCTCTCTCTCTCTCCCCCTTCCCCTCCCCCCCCTCCCGACTCTTGTTGCGGTACCGCTCGCATGTCTACAGCGCCAGTCCGAGCCTCCGAGCCTTCACTGCTCGGTCATGCCGAACCACATCGACTCGCATCAGCAGTTCATCGCCGACATCGCCGAGGCCGTCAAGGATGTCAAGGAGAAGCGCGTGGTATGTGGGAACACTCCCAGGCTTGGTGGGCCGCCTGCCGCCAATGGCCCTGCTCTTTTGGTTCCTCCCCTCCCCCTTCTGCCGTAACGATGATTCATGTTTGTCTGCTCCAGTGACTGACTGGCACTTTTCCCACACACACACACACACACAAACCGGCTCCCTCTCTCGTTCTCCCTCTAGGCCGCCGACGGGTCGACTGCCGCCGTGTATGGCATGGTGATGGCGGTGCCCAGCCATGCGGTTATCAATGAGTTCATCGTCGGCTTCCTGTCCGAGATGTACAAGGCCCGGTAAGGGGGGTGGAGGTCGGTGCATACATGTCTACACGCGCCCTCCCAGACGGTGAAGCCGCGCCTGCACCCTCGTGTTGTTCCCCTTTCCCCGGCTTGCCCTCCGCTCCACTCTGCCGACGTGACCTGACGCGAGACAACCCAGCGCGCACGCGCGCGTGCGCATCCAAGTTGGCCCGCAATCCGGCTGGCAGAGCTGCAGTGCCCTACACGCACGCATCCATTTTGAGAAATGGCATAAACCTCTCTGCCATATCGCCCCCCCCCCCCCTCCATGCGTTGACGTGGTGATTTGTGACGTGTTCCGTATGTATTTTTGCCCCTGTAGGGCCTTGTGAGTGCACAATAGTGTAAGGGACATATGGTGAGGAGGACAAGGGCCCTGGGGGAGGGGGACAAAGAGGAGAAGGAACGACCCCCCCCCCTCCCCTCGCCTCACGGGAGCGTGCTGTCGCTCGAGAGGAACATGTTGAGCATGGGCATCCTCGAGAAATACCCGTACTGCAGCTCGTCAAGCGACTCATGGCAATACGACAGGAGGCTGGGGCGCGTGCGGAGGCGATGGGAGGGGAGACAGAGAGAGAGAGAGGTCAGTACCACGGACAAGGGCGGACGCAAGGGCGGGCAGAGGGGAAAGAATCCACAATCCCGGGGGGGGGGGGGGATGGCACGCACTCACGCAAGACGACGATGTAGAAGAACTGGACAATGACCAGGAAGACCAGCGACATGCGCAGGGCCTGCTTGAGCACCGAAGACCGAGTCTTCGGGTTCCTCTTGCTGACCGCGGCCGAGGAGCCGACCTGCTCCGAGGCCTGCCGGGCCACCTGCCGAAGGCGGTCCTCCAGCGCGGCGACGCGCGCCTCGGCCTCCTCGGCTCGGCGCTCGGCAGCATTGATGTCCCCGAGGACCGTCTGCACCCGGCTGGAGTTGCTCTCATACAGCCGGGCCTCGGTCAGGTCCAAGTCGGTGGCCAGGCTTTTGGCCTTGGCCAGGAGCCCCTGCAGCGAGGCGCTCTGCTCCGGCAGGAAAGCCCGCGCGGCTGAGGCCTCCCCCGGGGCGCCCTGCGACCCGGCCAGGGTGTGCAACGTCTGCCAGATGCGCTCCAGAGACGCGTGACTGCAGGTGTGTGACGCGTGGCAGGAGGGGAAAGGGGCGAGCGAGAGAGAGAGAGAGAGGGCGGGAAAAAAAGAGGGACGACGGCGAGGGGGTTATGGTTGAGCAGGGGGGTGAGTAGCGGACCGGGAGAATGAGACAAGCAAACTCCGGTACATACCAATGGGTGACCTCATCCTGGAGAGACTTCCCGGCGGCCAACGAGGCAACCACACGCGCCTGGAGAGCGGGGTAATCCTCAGCCAGATCGGCAGGCGTGGCAGCCGAGTCACCCGGCATGGCAGCCTGCAGGGCACGCTCCATTCGGCCGGCAGGGGGCTTTGCCTCGACCACCTCCACCGTCATGCTGACCACGGAGCTGGTGCACTCGAGCGAGGTGCTCCCGGGAGTACGGTCTGTCGAGATGTCGGACTTGCTGGAGGACAGCTGCGACAGCGAGAGGCCATCGCCCGGGAGGCCGTGGTCCTGAGCCGGGGCCAGGGCGGGGGCCGGGCTCGGAGCCTGTTCCAGGGACGGATCAGCCGACTGGCTGGGCAACGTGGTGGTGGTGGTGGTGGTGGTGGTGGTGGTGGCGGTGGCGGTGGCGGTGGCGCCAGTGAGGCCAGAACCACTGGAGCCGGAGCCAGCCGAGCCGAAGCCAGCCGAGCCGAAGCCAGCCGAGCCGGAGCCGGTGAAGCCGAAACCGCCGGAGCCAGCCGAGCCGGTGAAGCCGAAGCCGCCGGAGCCAGCGGAGCCGGTGAAGCCGAAGCCGCCGGAGCCGAAGCCGCTGGACGCAGAGTCGCCAGCACCAGTGCCAGACTTAGGGGCGCCAAAGGGAGGATTTGCGGTGGCGGGATTGCCGAAGGGAGAGGGCGCTGCCTCCGAGGGAGTACTGGTGGCCGGGCTAAAACCACTGGCGGTGGTGGCCGTGGGACCAGCAGTGCCGAAGGTGGTGGTGGCACCACTGCTCACCGACTTCACGGCGCCGAAGCCGCCGAAGCCACCAAACCCAGCGGCAGCGGCAGCGCCCGGGGCAGGGAAATGGAAGGGTGACCCGGAGCCTGGGAGCTTGGACTCGGTGGTCGGAACCGTCTGGATGGTAGAGCAAATGGCCGGCGTGTTGTCCCCTGTGGTCAGGGGCAAGTTGACCGGCCCAGAGGGGGAGTTCTCCCGGGGCAGGTCCGAGTGGCTGTCTGCCCGGACGGGCGGTGCACTTTCGTGAGCCACAGTGGCAGTGGCCTCCGGCAGGGGCCCCCGAGCTTTGGGCTTGGCCGTCGCGCTGGCTGCCTGCTCGTTGGCCGGGACGCCGCCGGAAGCTGCCGCCGTCGAGAAGGGGTTCTGCCCGAAGAGGAACTTCTGCTGCTGGCCGAAGGGGGCCTGCATCTGGCCGAAGGGGGTGCCGGCGCTTGCCGGGGTGGCTCCGGGCAGCTTGAACCCCGGGGCGCCGGTGGTCTTGTCACTGGCCGCCGGCTTGGACGCCGGGGCCCCGACAAAGGGGAAGCCAAAGGGGGCAGGGGCCACCGAGCCGGGCGCATCCGCCTTGCTGTCCGATGCCCCGGGCCTCCCTGTGGAAGGGGCCACCCCGAAGTTGAAGTTTGTCACATCAGACATGGATGAGGTGATCTGGAAGTTGCCTTTCCCCGGGGCGGGAGGCCGAGCTCCCTCTCGCCGATCATCGCCGGCATCGCCGGTCGAGGGGAATGTGAGGGACAGTGCGCTCATTGCTCGCTGCGTGGCCAGAGTGCGAGGGAGTAGACAGGAGAGATGGGCAGACGGCCAGGCAGAGAGGGCCAGGCGCGTGGATGGGTGGGTGGAGGTGCGGATGCGGTTGGGTGGCGTATGCGTGTGCGTGTGCGTGTGCTCAAGGGCGGCGAGGAGGGAGGGGGGTGAGGAGGGAGGGGGGCGAGGAGGAATGGGTAATCCCGGGGGGGGCGAACGGCCCCCGGTGCCTGGGAGGCCGCATGCACTTAGGGCGATCGCCCCCGGTGGCCGAGGAACGAACGGTGGCATCGGCGGCAGCACCGACAGCGGCGAGGGGCCCCGGCGGCGGCCCTCCTCCGAGCCCGGGTCACGAACACCCCGAGCCAAAGGAGGGCGCTTTAGCGCTGGCCGTCAGGCAGGGCGATCCGCCGGCGGCCGGTTTCACCCCGTCGGCTGGGCGACCGCCGTGAGGCATGGTCGTCAGGAGACTATGAGTGGTCATGTGGCCGAGGGCAAAGTCTACTGCCGGCGCTAGTCTCCAGCCATGCGCCCGGCCTTCCATGGGTGTGGCGTGCTTTTCCCCGCCCGCCTGGCTCCCCACCAGCCAGCTGCCCCTGGCAGCCTTTCTTTTCCTCCCCAGCCCTTGCGCGAGGGCTTCTCTCACGACGGTCGGCCGGGGGGGGGGGAGGAGGCGCCCGTTTGCCCCGCACGGCGCGCACCGGGGCATGCACATGCCCTTGTCTGTTCTCTCGCCTTTGCCCTCCCTCTCTCTTTCTCTCTCTCTCTCCTCCGCTCCCCATGTGGCGTGTGAAAAGGCGAGAAAAGCGCGATGCGCGGGGACATTCGATGTGTGTATTTTTGAAAGGGGGAGGAGAGAACAGCGCGCGTCGGCGGCAGGGGAGGGAAGATGCCGCACGCCCTTCCCGCCCGCGTCGTGCGCGGAAAGGGGGGGACAGAGCAAAAGACAACTCCCCCGAATGGCAAGCGGCATGGAGGGGGAGGAGAGGCTAGGCCAGAGGCACGAGGGGCGGGCACAAGGAAACACGTTGCGGGATGTGTCGTGGCACACACACATCCACCCACACATCCACGCGAAGGTGGCGCGGCACCGCAGCCAGCACGCAGCGTGGCAATGGGCGCAATGGCAGAGGGTGACACACCGTCAAACGACGGCGTGCGCACTTACATCTTGGCAACCTCAGCGGCCAGGGCCATGACCGGGAGAGCACCGTCGTCGTTGTCGCCGCCGCGGTACACACGCCGGCGCCAGGGCAGGGCGGTGGCCGGGTTGGACGAGCGGATGGAAGCCGACTGGGCGCCATTGAGCGTGGCCCGCACGCCGTCCATCAGGCTCAGGGCACACTGGACCAGCATCTGGTAGTCCTCGTCGCCCTCGGCGGTGCCGGGGTTGGCGGCACGCACGGTGGCCAGCACACGCAGCTGCGTCGACACGGTGGGGATCCGGTCGGCCGAAGTGTCGAGGTCGCGCGACAGCCGGCGGTCCGTGCAGTCCTTGGCGATCGGCCGGGCAAGGGCCTCGAAGGAGTTGGCATCCTGGGGGGAGGGGGGAGAGGGGGGGGGGGAGACGAGAGGACGTGTGCATGAAGAAGAAACACACACAGAGATAGAGAGAGGACGAGTCAGTAAGGGGGACCTAAACAAGGAAGAAAGAGAGAGAGAGAGAGAGAGAGAGAGAGAGAGAGAGAGAGAGACCCAGGGAAGAGCACGGCAAAAAGACACCCTCCCGTGTCCCAGAGGAAGGGGGGAAAGCGGGGGGAGGGGGGGGGGGGGCGTCGTGACGCACCTTGGCGATCTTCTTGGCCAGATCGATGAGCTCGCGCCGGGCGCCGGAGCGGGCCAGGTTCTCCAGCTGGGCCATCTGCTCGGAGAGGGACTCGGCCAGCTGAACCAGGTTGTTGCCGGCGGAGTCCCACTTGGAGGCCTCGACCTTGAGACGCATGGCGTTGGCGCGCACCGGGTTGGCGGCGGCCTCCGCGGCGTTCAGGAGCTGCGGGGCCGGGGCATCGACGATGACCACCTCGCCGGCCTCGGCCAGGGCGGCCAGAGCGGCGGCCTCGGCCTCGGCCTTGGCGGCGGCGGCCGCGCGCTCGGCCTCCTCCTTCTCGGCGCGGGCCTTGGCGGCGGCCGCACGGGCGGCCTCGGCGGCCTTGGCACGCTCCTCGGCCTCGCGCAGCAGGCGCTCGGCCTCCTTGCGGGCCTCCTCCTCGGCGGCGGCCGCGGCGGCGGCCGCACGGGCCTCGGCCTCCTTGCGAGCCTCCTCCGCCTTGCGAGCCTCCTCGGCCTCCAGACGGGCGGCCTCCTCGGCGGCGGCCTCCTCCGCCAGGCGGGCCATGGTCGACAGCGAGTCCTCGATGCCCTTCCAGGCCTCGGGGTCGACGTCGGTGGCACCGGCAAAGGCGCCGGCCTCCGCACCGGTGCCATGCTGACGCGCGATGGTGGCATGCAGCTCGCCCAGGGTATCATCAATGCGAGCCACCGCCGCGTCGAGCTTGGCCATGGCGGCCGGGTCGTTCGGAGCCAGGAAGGCCCCCTTGGCGGCCTCCTGCAGACCGGCCAGCGAGGCAATGGTGTCATCGATGCACACCTGCAGGCGCTGGCGATACTCCGGATCGGTGGAGTGCTCCATCTCGGCCTTGGCCACGGTCAGGGCATCCTGCACACGGGCGCTGATGGCCACCGAGGCCGCCATCAGACGGCCGGGATCCTGCGTGCGGCAGGCCTCGCGGAAGTCATCCAGGTGCGAGGCAGCCATGGCCCGGTGGAAGGCCACCATGGCCTCCGGGCTGCTGGCATCCAGCATGGCATCCCGCAGACGACGGGCCGAGTTGTCCCACGACCCGGACACCTGCTGGAAGTACTCGGCGGCCAGGGCATTGCCAGGGTTGGCGGCCAGGGCGCGAGCGGCGGCCGCCAGCTCCGGGTAGGCCTGGGTCAGCTCGGCGGCGGCCTGGCGAATGGCGCGCGCGCGCTCGGCGTCCGGCGCGGCGGCGGCAGCCGCCTCGGCCGCCGCCTCCAGCACGGCCAGATCCTCCTGCACCTTGGCCAGGTACTTCTCCACGTCCTCCTTGTTGCCGGCGCGCGCGGCGTTGCCCAGCTTGTTGAGCAGGGTCTCCGTGCCGGAGGCCGGGTCGGCGGTGATCAGCGACTCCACCAGGCGCAGGGCCTCATCCAGATCGGCACCGGCCACATTGGTGGCCAGGGAAAGGTACGCCGCGTCGATGGAACGCGAAGCCTCCAGGACCTCGGTCCGGGCGGCCACCGCCTCCAGCGAGTCGTCCCCGGCGAACTGGGCCGCCTGGTTGACCGCCAGGTCGAGGCGCTGCTTGGCCGCCAGGAAGTCCTCCTGCGACTTGTTCACCATGGTGTGGCGATGCTGGGCGTCGGCATCGACCGCCGGGCGGGCCAGGGAGGCGGCCGCCGCCGCGAGAATCGGCTCGCAGGCCTCGTTGAGGGCGGTGTGGGCGGTCTGGATGTCGCTCTGTGTGTGTGTGTGTGTGCGTGTGTGTGCGTGTGTGTGCGTGTGTGCGTGTGTGTGTACATGCATAGAGTCAGGATGGGAGCGAGAGGGGAGTGGCGGCAGTCGCAGGCGCGAAGCGAAAGGGAGGAGGCCGGCGCATAAGCCTGAAGGAAGGGGGATGCACCTTGCTGCCGTTGAGGGTGGCGCGGTTGAGGTCGACGAGCTTCTCGACGAAGTTGCCGCGGTGGCGCGAGTGGTCGCCCAGGAGGAGGTCCTCGTTGTGAGGGGGCTGGAGCGCGTGCGCGCGGGGGGGGGGGGGGGGGGACGTGGTGTTAGGTATGCACCGGGCGGGGACACAGTGGAGCGAGCGCAATGTGTACACATGTGTGTGCGAGTGTGTATGCATGCGCGGCGCACAGGCTCGATCTGGACAATGCGGCGGATCTCCTCAACGCCGTGGACCAGACGCTGCAGGGTGGAGTCCTTGGACTCCTTGGCCGACGGGTCGGTCGGGTTGAGAGCGGCCATCTGCGGCGGATGACAAAGGGACAGGGTCAATGGCAGGATAGCGGGGATGATGGAGGGGGGCGAGGGGGGGGGGGGAAGGGGGGAGGCGCGCCCACAACACCATACTAACGAGGACAGACGAGGCGCGGCGGAGCAGGCAGGAATGGAAAGCGGGGAGCACACACCTTGAGCACGGCCACCAAGCGGGTGGACACATTGCTGACCAGGGCCTTCGAGGTGGCGAGGTCCTCCTTGAGCCAGGGGTCGACGATCTCGGCGACACTGCACGGGCGATGGTGGCGTGCATGAAGGGGAGGGGGGGGGGCAATGGTCAGCGCATGTGCGCATGTGCGCATTGGGGAGGCGGGAGGCGGGAGGCGCGGGGGGGGGGGGGGGCGCAAACAGAAAAGAGGAGGGAGGGGCGCACCGGCGCTCGGCCAGCTGCGAGACGGCCAGGATGCGCTGGCAAGCGGGCTGCAGGTGGCGGATGATGTCCTGGGGCTCGGAGGCCGCGATGATGGCATTCAGGGACTCGGTGGCCCCGTCGCACGACCGGACAATGTGGCGGACCTCGGAGTCGTCGTACACCTCGAGCACGCTGCGGGTGCCCGTGAGGATGGCTATCGGTGGGCGTAGGTGGGAAGGTCAGGCATGAGGACCAGCGTGCGAGGGGAGGAGGCGAGCAGGGGAGGGTGTCATCGCCTGGGCGACCCATGACAAGCGCACACTTGGTGGCCTCGACCATCTCCTGGCGGAGGGCCGAGTTGTCCGGGTTGTCGTTGAGGCCGGCAGCCGAAGACACGAGCTTGGCGCAGGCGGCGTCGACGAAGGCAATGGCCGGGGGCATGGACTTGCGGAGCTCCTCATCCTGAGCGGCGGG